CCAATTTGAACTTCATCAATTTACAAAGCACTATAACACCACCATAAGACAGCTGACAGGCGTGTTATATGTATGCTCTTTTGTTTCCTCATGTAAACGGCTAACAATCTTACCTACGCTGTAGACCAAGGCACACTTTCTCACTTATAACTGACAGCAGGAACCAAGCTAATCATACATATTTAATTGTCAAGTATGTTGAAATCATTGTGATACTTTAGGTGACCATTCAAATCCAAAGACTTTTGTGTTGTATCAAAGACCTAGCTCTTTGATACAATATAGTATTGCCTCCAAGTGTCAAATGCACAGGAATTGTCACCATGCTAATAGCATTTACCATATTATTTTACAAAGAGTAAATTTTCATAAGCATGTACAAATTATAAGATTATGATGTTTCGGTATAATAATGTGCATATACCCCGTCTATGTCTCATTCCTATACGTTTTATTTATGGTCTAATAAGGACTACATCTGGTGAGTCTTATAAAGGTCCTTAGACAATTAGTTTGTCTTCAGACAATTCGTCTTGAGAGTGAAATGAGATTTGGGGCAGCACTCAGCTGTATTACTGTATTATTAGTCAATCGAGAGGCATTGCCAAGGGAGGTAATTGTTCTTTTGTGGTGAATTATGCATTAGTGGAAATAGTGCTGGCAAAAAAAAATTTACCCCAATTCTGTCTTACTCTATATATGGCTGTTTTATTTCAAGTTTATGTAACAGACAGCTAATTTGAAGGTATTTAAGTCTGCTTGATTAAAAGCCAAACTATTAACACTGAAGAAGTACCTCACTTGAAATTCTGCAATAGAGACAAGAGAAAATTGAATGGATTTGCGATAAGTCAGAGATCAAACTATCGAATCAAAAGTTATAGGCAAGGTTAAAGTTTTTGTGGACAAACAGACAGACAGATGGGTGGACAGGACTTGTTTCTTTAAAAATGTTCCATTCAATGGTAGAACATTCATGTTTCTAGAGACACATTTCTAGTTTCTTAATCAAGCTGAATTTATTAGATGACATACAATATTATATAAAAATTTTAGCTAAAAAAAATTTTAAAAATCATAAATTCCTTGATCTTTCAGTTTCTGTTTTGAAAAAAAAAATTCTCATATTGTGGGCATAAGTGGGAAGGTTAAATTTAAGATAAAAGGTTAAACAGCTTTAATATGTACATCTTGTGTATTCAACTTAACTACAGTCGTTTGGCCAGTTCTGAATTTTGACCAGTTCCGAATAATTATTAATTTAAGAGCTGATAATTAATACATTCAAAGGTGTAGAAATAAATCGAAACCTATGGTAAGAAGGCTTACCTATTTATGAGTGTTTGAATTATGTGAAGTTTATATTTTTTGCCGTCAGTTCGGTTTCTTTATCGTACTTGAAAGAGTCAACATTCTTTCAAAATGCAACAAATCTGAATCACCGTGACGCGTAAGTTTGCAGAAAAACCTCTGTAGAGACATCAATTTTTCGCATAAAACAACATTCTAGGTATCAAAAGTAAGTTTGATATGTACTCTAACAAATACTAAAAATTTGTCTAAAATAAATATTTAGAACACTGGAAGATGTCGGAATATTTTCCTGTTGTCATTTTACTAGTTCTGAATACCCATTTTAAACACTATTATAAATTCATTCTTCGTTATTTTCTTCAATGTAAACGTGACTTTTTATACCCCCGCTTGAAAAGCAGGGGGAAGGGGAGATAGTGATGGAATGTTTGTCCATCCATCTGTCTGTATGTCCATCCAGTTAGCTGTACATCCGTCCGTCTGATACGCTTTGGGGTACCCATTTCTTAATCTCAACTCCTCTTTTACCACGGAATGAAATTTAATTAGGCTTCACATAATTTAATGAGACTTTCCAGAATCTTTGTTAAATAGTGCCAAAGTACCTTTTCTATTTTATTTTTTGATCTGGCACATAATTCTGGCTCCCTTAGCATTACATGGATACAGCCATTATTTCTAATATTGAAGGGTATATCCATCTCTTATCCACAATTCCTCTATTCCACTGAATAAGATTTAATGATACTTTTATAGATTCTTTATAACATTGTACATGTGATCTCATTATATTTTTTTGATCTGACACAAAGTCGGGTCTCCTAGCTAGAGCAAAACATGGACTTTGTCATAATAATCATATAGGAGGCATGGGGTATCATTAAAGTGAGCTCAGTGTTCACAGTACCCCTAGTTTCTCTTTATCCTTTGGAAATACAAATAACTTATTGGTAAGCAATTAATTTAACTTTTCTTAGGCATGCCAATGGATAATGTGTGGGATGTATATTTTTCAATTCAGGGTTGAATTGAATGGGTACCGCTAGGGTATTCGGAACTCGTCGGCTTATTCGTAACTGGTAAAATGAACACCTATGTTAACTTACGAAATAAATTTTTCGGAGGGAAGGCTGAACTTTTATGAAACAATATTTAATTCCACAAGTCATTGAACTACCTTGACAAAAAACTTAAGATTTTGAAATAATGCCTCGTATATTCATAGCAACCCCTTATCCGTTTCTTATTCAGAACTGGTCAAATAACTGTACATGTATCAGTATAAAACAATCAATATTTAAAGAGTCCTCCAATAATTAAGAGTTAGTAGACATTAGCTAATTAAGAAGTTTAACACTCTTATGACCAAGCTAGCATTGGAATTCCTTTTGAAATGTGACAAAAGTTCCAACAAGATGGTTATAAGTGTATGTAGAAGTAATTCATTCTATTTGACATAAGACATCTGTCCTGCGTCCTTCTCCCGTATTGATTGTTTGTGTTCAAATTCAGTTAGAGAATCAGCTATACCAATTCCGTTACTCAGCCAATAAACATTACTCTTCCTACTGGACAAATGAATTTAGACATAATTAAGGGTTTGGCCTGTCACTGTTCTCAAACTTGATCTTTGTTTTCTCATCTTCAAAAACACCATTCCCCAATTAGTCAAATTGGTGCGTAGTGTTGATTTAGTTTTGTTCAAATTATGCCCCCCTCAAACTAGGATAGGTCCAAAGAAGGAAGTTTTGCAGAGAAAAAAAATATTTTGATAAAGTAGTTGAAATAATGTATTTTCTTCTCAAATACAACAAGGGGCAGCATTAATCAGAATTGATATTTTTGATTCTTTGTTTAAATCATGAGCCATGACTAGATGGATGGAGGACCTTTACATAGGAAAAAAAAATATTAAAAAAGCTTTTCTCAGCAACATCAGGGCCCAAGTTATTTAGATTAATATAATTTACATCTTGAATGTTGTCGATGTTTTGAATATGTGGCATATTTTATGCCACAATAGTATTTTAAAATTTCATAGGTTTTGATGCTAAAAAAAATTTTCTCTACAAAAAAAAAGAAGATCAAGATAATCATGTTTGCTAAGAACATTTACTGGTAAGTTGCTCAATTCTGGAAAAGGGATGTAAAGGAAATGTGAGTGACCTGTGTGAGCATTGTAACCCACTGAGGACACTATGACCAACTCAGTATTCCTTTTATTTTTTCCAAGTAGATAGTTTTAAAATGGGGTTGCATGTTAAATTTGAAAAATTGTTCTTTCTATGACAAAATCTGAGTGCCAAAATTGAAAGCAAAGTAAATGAATTGTGAGCAGAATTAAGTTCTTGTACTTCCTCATTCTTTGAAAAAAATTCTTTTCGGATATTGAGCTTTCAATTCCATTACTAAGAAATTGAGGGGGACTTGGAATATTTGTTTTTGATTGATCCCAGTATCAAGTACAACCTAAATAGGTTAACGAAGATGATGTCCTCCGAGATGGAAGTCTGCATGCACATTTGCATGTTCTGTTGCTGGCTGCATGAGTAAAACCAGTCAAAAGCTGGATCTGGACTCTTATCATTTAGGCACACTTCTATTTGCCTTTATCAGGAGTACATCTTCATAGACCTTAGAATGTTAGGCCACCAATGAAACTACAATTTAGATCATTACTAGATATAAAATTTCTGAAGAAAATGTCCTCCCAAATCCCGGATGGTGATCGTTTATTTTGGAACGTGTACTTTATCTAAAGGGAAGATCACTTGTTTTTTGAAAATGTTTCTGTGCAAGCAATCATGTTGTAAACTAATGAATTTTATCATCTGAGTTTTACTTAAAAAAAGAGAAAAATTAGACCCCATGGTTTGAACAATCAAGCAACTTGTAATTCCCTTGATCAGATTAATTGTTATGTAATGGAGGAAATCTTTTTTACTCATGGCACCGAGACATATACAATGATTCTAATCAGATAATTTCATTAGCACAAATGGAGAGAGAGAGAAATTAAGTGAATAAAGTTGACACTCATTAATCTTAATTAAGGGGATTAAATTAATCAGTTCAGAAATTTCTCACTACAGAATACCGCATATGAAAAAAAAATTGATTTAATAATTAACTGCTGAAAATTGTGAGTCAGTATTCTTAATTAAGTAACTATTGAATACAAATAGAATAAGGAATTTAATGGATATTGAGATTGCTTGAACTGCAGATAACACTTGTAAAAGAAGAAAATATTCTCTTTAAGGGGAGATAACTATAATTGGCTGTTTGACAGTGATAAAGTTCCCAGAAGGTGGTCCATTGATTGATTGTTAGGAAATTCTTGATTGATCAATAAAAAAATAATCAACCTCCTAAGATTGCAAAATGCTTGTGCTAAAGTTAGGTTAGGTTTGAGTCAAACTAGTACTATCACTTTTTCACACCCATTTGAAGAAAATTTGTTATGACACTGTAATTATGTATGATTAAATCAGAAAGCAAGTGTCATATAGCTAGGGGGCAGTTTCACAATTCTGAGCAGATTTGATAAGTTTCTTGTAGATTTTTATTAGAGGGAACATCTTTTGATTCCCGATGTGTTCACACATTGACTTTACAGAAGATAGTGAGGTGTGACCATTGGAAAGAAACCGTGTCGCCACTCAACCGATAACATTTTAACTAAGTTTTATGTGTTTTACAGAATCTGAGGGGATAGGGTTCATGAACATTTTTGACTGACTTCACACACAGGTAAGGAACATTTCTTATATTATGCATTTATGTAGAAATGCAAAAAAGCTAAATTAGCTGCAGTGAAGCAGTACATAAAGATTTGTTAATTAATTGCACTGCTGTTTTGTTGAATGAACAAATTGCATTCCTGTTTGGTCTTTAAAAAGTCTTGCTCTATAGCTGTAGAGAAAAATTCACAAAAGCTTTACTTTCATCAGTACCAATATTGTCCTTAATGCTGCCCTTAGAGTTAATACAATATTTGTCTATTTAATTCTGTTACATTAGCACATGTCATATTATTATAGATCACTTGTTTGTACATGCTGGTTTAGTCTAGGGTACCGATTCGTTGTTTCCTATCTGGGAACAAATGTGATTATATATTGTTAGTTTTATTGACTAAATTGTTACGATGTCCTCGTTAGATATATTTATTTGCTGGATTATATGGAGCTCTTGTCGTGCATGCTAATTAACTCAATTGTTTTCATACCTTCGTTAGAAAAGGACATACTATTTAGGTGTGATGAACTGGGAGGTTGTATGCTATGTTTTATTAAACATCTTGTATATTTTTGGTTGTGGTGTAATTCATTACCTTCTAAGAAGAAAGTGTCAACTGGCTTAATATTCATTTTAAAAAAAGATTTGTGGATGTAAAGTGAATATGAATTAAATGGTTTTTGGACAAGAATTTATTTTAAAATACAATGGATGCCAGTGAAAATATTTGAATTAATGAACTAGGTAAGTGAAATATTTAGTTAAGCTTTTTTTCTAATTTATGAACTTTAATTGCCTCCTCACCCAACTACCCCCCCAAAAACATAACTGACAATTAATAATTTTTATTGTTTGAAAACACAGAATTTGTTCTTTATATTTTAAGAATAAAGAACAAATAAAAAAGACTGAAAGAATTTTTATATAGACTGCGTGGTAATATATATTTGAATAAGTTCTCTCAATTTGTCATAAAGATAATTACATTGTAAACTATAGACATTAATTGTTGTTGGTGGGATAAATTTATGAAGGGAATATGGTCAGGATTTTTCTGTAGAATTTGTCACAATGTACCTGAGGTGCATTGAAGACATACAGTGGCAATCCATTGAATCCAAGAAATCAGCATTTTCTACCCCCAGAATTTACAGAAAATGTGAGTCTAGGTATAATTATGACCCCATGAGGGAAGAATATATTTACATTAATATTGAGTATCATAACATACCCTGAAGAAAGCTGAATCACACTGGAGACATGTCATTAATGGAAACAATTATATGTATTACAAATGTTGGAAACAGTTATCTCAGTCACCCTTGTTCTTACATGTTACACATTAATTTTAAAATACATATGATTAATGGTTATAGTTTGAGATTCAAAGATGCCTATTGCAAAACTAATGTAATCAGTGGAGTGTGTACATGTATATTCATGCACATTTCTCAAGGTTATGCTCAGTCGGTAGAGCGCTTGCTCTGCGATTGGAAGGTCGTGTGTTTGAATCATGACCGCCACTGTCCTAAGTCAATTAAAAGTTTGTACAACTGTTCCTTCACCAAGCACTTGGCATTTTGAAGTGAAAGTTGTGAGTCATTCTGAAGAGAGGCCCCTTGTCACAGTAGGTCTTTGCAGGATAAAGATCCATCACTGCTCAATGACCCTGAGTGCAGAGTAAAGGTCTAAATTCACTGGTATATGGGTACATCTCTCTTTGAGTGAAAAATCTTGAATTGGGATTCAAACATGTGACCTAAGGATCAACTAATCTTACTCCATGATGTTAGAGCAGACTCTCAAACCACTGTGGAACGTGGGTGACAAAAGCCAAATGGTATATGTATCTTCTCTAATTTACTCTTTCTCACTTACTGGATAAGTTTTTCCATAGCCCACCCTTTGTATTCCCATGACTATGCCCATTTTAAAATGGATGATCAAAGTATGATTCCAAAAAATTATTAAAGTCATTAGAAAATATTCTACTGTTTAAAAAAAAAACACTCCTGTCTTACTGTTATTTGGCAGAAGCCACCAGCCAAGGAGAGAGGGTCGTTAAAAAAAAACTTAAAATTAGGTAAAAACGTGATAACAAGAATCCCAAACACTTGTGATTTGGATAAATCTCAAATCCGAAATTACAAAACGTCGGGAGATATAGGATTACCTGTATATCCCTATCCTGGGTCATTGACCATGGGAAAATTTGTAGTAATCTACTTAATGAGTAATGACAGTGTAAAAATGTGTTAAAGGGGGATCATGATATCATAGAAAGATTTTCATGTGTGGTTGAAAATGGATTGAGAATTGTTTTATGATGGCTAGAAAGGTTCTTTTGGGTTATGGTTGGGGTCAAAAGAGAGTTTTGTCAACTGACAAAATTGGACCATAAAATCTTAATGTACTTGAAAACAAGTCCTTACACACAGATTTTATCTTTCAGAAGGTGTTGAATGTAGCATAAAATTATCTTAATTCCCAACACCTATGTTTGGAGAAAGCAATTTAAGTTTAATTGTTATGTTAATTTGTTTTAAATTCATTTGTTTTAAGTTTTTATTGTGCTCAGATTTTTATACTGATAAAATATTTTGATAAATATACCTCGACCTCAATATTTTAGCCTTTGATTTATGTTGTACTCTAAATTCATTGTCCTGTTTTCATTGTCCACCCTATGTTAATCATTAAATGATGGGAGTAGTGCTCTAAGGCACCATTTAGTTTACTTTCAAGGCCATTAAATGAAGAGTTACTCCCCTTTTGTGTAATGGCCGTGAATTCTAACACCATCTTTCCCTTTATCAGAAAAGGGAATCTGTATACAATTAAAATAATAAAAAAGCTTTTAACTGGACATGGACAAAAAGATTATGGAAAAGTCCACAGAATTTTTATACAAGGTGATAGAGTCTTGATATTTGAAGAAGTTGCTGAGCATGATCGTTTATTTATACCCATGCTGGTACATGATACTTTAATTGTTATTGCAGTTGAACCATGAAATACTAAATATCTGTATACTTGGAATAAGTCAGGCATTGTATTACAGTACATGAATAAGAAGATTTATTCACTTTGTGATAATTACACATATAAAAAAAAATTGTGAAGTTCAACAACCTCTGAATTCACATTTTCTTTCATGTGTGCTAGAATGATTATTATAATTTAAGATCTTTTTTTTACATTCTTTCTATTGCTTTGTCCTAATATTTTGAGGTTCCTTATTCCTATATTTATAACTGATAACTAGAAAAAGCAATTATGTTCCTGGAGAAACCACTTAAAATTTGATGAATGATGAACAAATAAATTAGTACCTGACATTATCAATAAATCTTCGTAACATAAATACAAAAAATATTTGCTTTTATTAAAAAAAAATCTATACTGCAGTGCTTATTGAATTACTGATATATATATATTTTTTTTGTTTGAAGAAACCATATATCTACATAGATATAAATCTGAACAGTATGAGTCACACCTAGAAGACAAAGATTATATAAGACAGACCAGTCAAGAAATGTCCCCAATTTAAGAAAAGTGAGAGACACCCCCCACCCCCCACCCCCACCCCAAAATCAAAATATGTAATTGTAACATATGATTTATCAATTAGATTTTCTAGACCTTGAGATTTACGGCCACTACATGTTTATGTTTCTCTTCAATTGATCCTTGTTTTCCTTATGTAACTAAAGGATTTATTGTTTTAAATACAGTCAAACCTTCCTATCTCAAACTCAGTGAGAAAAAAAAATTCCAAGATACCATAGAAATGAAGGTTTAGAGGGTAAAATACTTATTAAGAGTAAGTGGTTTGGACTTATCCAGGGTATTCGAGCTATCAAATTCAATTGATCTAAAGTGCTAGGAAATCACACATGCAGAAATTTTCTTAGCTGCAAAAATGTATAGCCCTCTCTCCCCCTTTTAAGGGGGGAGGGGGGAGAGCTCTGCTTATCAGACTTCATACACTTATACAAATTTTTATTCTGAATTATTCATACCTGAGGTATACCCTTGACGGGGCATTCATGTCCATATTTCTTGTCCATCTTCATTTTTCTGGCAGAAATGTAAGCTATTTTGGAAAAGTATAATTGTTATAAAAATAATAATTTTCAGGAGTGTTACAACATTTTGGTTATATAAGTCATTACTAATCCCAAACATTTTTATCATTTATGTAGATAACTAGACAGTTTTATGTTGTCGATACATATTTCAGGGCTGTTGTCAGACATAAGACCCTGAAATCTTGATAAATTCTTCTCCTGAAGGTTAGATTTATTTAAATTTTGCATGTTTTATACCTGGAATCAGAAGATAATCCATAATAAACTGCAGTAGAGAAGTTGGATAATTGGCAGTGTGCTTGACTTGGGCTGCATAGGTTTGTTGATTGCCAACAGACCTGCATGATGTTTTTTATCAAATTATCACCGTTTTATTTTTCTTTTGCTTCAAGACTTGTGCAAGAAGCATAAAATTTCCAAGATAAACAATGTAATAACTTGATACCTTAGTATCACGAGGTTCCTTATCAATTAAAAGGTGCAGATATTGGTATTAATTTATACAGCTTAAGGTGCAGTATGGGAGTTTGGTTTAAATAGCATTCACCAGAAAGACACAGTACTTTTAAATTTGTCAGGCCTTTATTGACAAGATCAAGACAAACTTGCAGATTGGTCATTCACATATTAATGTATTTAGTTCTTAGAATTAAGAGTATAAATTTTTTATTCCATGTTTAATTGATGAACATTATAAAATCATAAATTTGTATATAAATAAATCTAATTGGCACATTCATTAGGATTATGTTGATTAAGCAGAACAATTAATCAAACTACATTGATCCAAAATTTTATAATAAATATAGCTATATGATAGACATCAAATTTTACAAGATTTTTATGCCCCCGTAAACAGTTTACAGGGGTGCATAGTTTTTGCCCTGTATGTCTGTCTGTCTGTTTGCCTGCCTGTTAAAAAATGTCCGCAAAAACTTAAACCTTTAAACTTAGTAACTTTTGAGTGGGTGGGGCCATGGCTTTCATATTTCTCAGGTGTATTCCTTATGACAAGACCTTTCTTTGGGTACCACCAAATTTGACCTCTTGACCTTGACTTTGAGTTTGTCCTACTTTTACAACATAATACCACATATAACCTTGGCCATAACTATTGAACAGTTGAAGCTTATACAGCTTTCATACTTCACATGTGTATTCATTGTGGCAAGACCTTTCAGTGGGTATAAATATTTGTGACCTTTTGACCCTGACCTTAGAGTCTGCCCACTTTTTAAAAAACTTGAAACTTGGCCATAACTTTTGAAAAGTTAGAACAAGAGCTTTCATATTTCATAGACGTATAATCCTTGTAACAAAAACTGACCTGTGGGTACCAACACTCTTGACCTTTTGACCTTGACCTTTGAATTTGACATGCATTCGAGAAAATTGAACCCTAGCCATAAGCTGCCATACAGGGGCACCAGTGTTTCTCTAACACATCTTGTTTTCTAAAAAGCTCGGTAAAAAAATTTCAGTAAACTTTCATAAATCTTTTAAAGCTGATTTTAAATTTCTGTACCTGTAGAAATATAGGACCTATTCAGAATGTTGTGTTTATGAGGCACTTCATTTTGAGGCATCCCAGAACCCATAAATCTTACTGTCATTGATAATATTTTGATTTCTAAATTTTATAGATTATCTTTAAAAGCACCCAAAGGGTTTTTATGAATATTCATATTGTATTTGAATTTGAAATGATGGAAATGCTGCATTGGAATATTTTTGTGATATTAATAGTGGGAAATTTCAGTTTGTCACTTAATGTTTCAGATGATATTTTCCATTTGCGTCATTTTTTAACTCAATTCCCCCAAAGAACTCTATTTTATTGTAATTATTTGAAAGTCTGCTCACATAATTTCATTTGTATTAAATGTTTGTAAAACAGATGATGGAAGCTCAAGGCCAAAGTGCAAGTGTTTTAAATGTAGTCAAACTCCAAGGACATGATCAAGAGTTCAAAATATTGATACTTATAGGAGAAAGATCTATTCATAAGAAATTTGCATGTAAAATATAACAGCCCTGTAAGTTCCAACCATTCCAAAAATATATGGCAAAGGTGGTTTTTTCCAAAAAGAGGTCATGATTGAAGGTCAGTGTCATGGGGAAAAAAATAATGGTACCAAAACAAAGTTTTTGTCACAATAAAGGCATAATTTATTTCAAGCTAGATATGAAAGCCCCCAGTGGCAACCATTCAAAAGTTATAGGCAAGATTAAAGTTTCAAATGCAGGTTAACTCCTAGCTAGGTCAAGGCCATGAGGTCAAAAATGTTGGTATACGTCCTAAAAGGTCTTGTCACAAAAAATACAAATATGATATATAAAAGTCAGTTAAATTTATTCTAAAGTAGGTGAAACTCAAAGGTCAAGGCCTTAAGGTAAAAAGTTAATATCTTTAAAAAAAAATCTGGATACAAGGAATACGCATGTGAAATGTAAAACTCCTAGCTTTAACAGTTCAAACGTTTTGGCCAAGATTAATTTTTTTTTTTCAAAAGTAGGTCAAACTCCAAGGTCAAGGTCTAGAGATAAGATACATGTATATTGGTACTCAAAGTAGGTCTTCTCACAGAATGTGAAATATGGAAGCCCAAACATCAACCATTCAAAAGTAATGTGGAAGGTTAAATTCTTTTAGGGCAAACAAACAGATTAACAGACAACCCAAAAATTGTATGCCTCTAAATCTATTATGGTGGCATAAACATGATCATGATAAAAAAGTTTAATTTAAAAGATTAATTTTTTTTTTTCAAAAGTAGGTCAAACTCCAAGGTCAAGGTCTAGAGATAAGATACATGTATATTGGTACTCAAAGTAGATCTTCTCACAGAATGTGAAACATGATCATGATAAAAAAGTTTCTCTCTCTCTTTCTCCTCTCTCTCTCTCTCTCTCTCTCTCTCTCTCTCTCTCTCTCTCTCTGTGTTTCTCTGACTGTCTGTCTGAGTCTATCTCTCTCTTTTTCTCTCTCCTTTAATTATTATTTTCTAGTATGCTAAAGTACAGGTTCTAGAGCAGAGCGTAGTTCATGTATTAAAAATACATCACATTGATAATAACATTTTCTTTAATCTTGAGCACCAATAGCAGCAAACTTTTTATTATGTTAAACTTATAGAATGGAGATCTCAGAATTAAGGTTGTTAATGAAAAAAATACATGGATAGAAAAGTATCCTGGTTTGGACATATTTTGAATAGAAAAGATGAAATAATGCATTCTAAAAAAAAAAAAGGCTTTTAGCTTATGTAGGGTCACTATACAAAAGGGAACTGGTACATAATTTGCTAAGTCCCAATGGGTGTATTGTGCCACAGCAATGGAATGATTGCTGCATCAAGATTTTCAAACACATGTAAAAGCAGTCATTATTTCATTGTAGTGCAGTAATTGTCCTAAAGAATATTAATTGACAAGTGCTTAGCAGAATAAAATGTCATTAAACGCAATCTTCAAAAAATGATATATGATTGGCAGTACGTCCTGTGAGTTCCAGGTAGGAGACATTTGTTTCTTATGGTTATTTTATGCTTTTTCTAAGATGTACATATACATTTCATGATGAAGGACCATGAATCAGAGCAAGAATCCTTCCTTGAATGTCAAAATGTTTAACACCCACTTTTTACAAATTATTAAGTGATTCTGCTTTACTTTGTTTGGACAATTTGACAGAGTCATTCCTCACATTGGACTGAATATTACATTGTCCACCCCCTCTAAGATTACCTCCTAACTGAAAGGTTAGGTATTGGTAATCTTGATGACAGGTGATGGGGATGATAAGTCGACTATCGCATACATTGACAGACATTTAGTCCAGTATTAGAAGGAATCGATGGTCATTGTGTCCAATTTATGTAAAAGGGTCTTCCATCAAGCTATGAATGGGGACTTTTGGGAAAGATGGGAATTACTGTTATTTGTGAGACATAGTCCCAGAATAGGCCAAAGAAAGGACTTTGGTATTGATTAACTGAAGAGGAATGAACTAGTTTTCTACTTGGTTAAATTGTGTTTTTCATTTGATTACAATAAGCCGGTGAGATGTTCTGTCTCATAGATGAACACTAAAAAACTTGCAAATGCTCTTTTCTTCTATGATCCATGGATGTGTGTGTAAGAAATATTGTGTAATAAAATAGATGCATATAAAGAGAATTTCCATATTGATTCCTAGCAATGCAGTGCTAGAGTTTATGAGATGTAGCAAGCATTGAATCATGATGCTAGATGCCTGATAGGAGGGGAAAAATCATCTTGCACTGCAATCAGGACTATAGGGGCCATGCTCACTTAAGATACTACCAACACTCTGTAGACTTAACTCTGTTTGATTAACAAAGAAGTGCCATTGATAGGATAGGTGACCTTATTGTCTGGATTTAAAGCTTTCAGCTTTCACTTTTTAAGGTAATTTTGGTTTCATTGAAAAGTTTTTAAGTTTGAAGTTTGTTTTTAAGTTGTAAGTTTTACCTAAATTTCCTTTGTTTGATTCAAATAGAGGATCTAGGTGATGGTTTAATAGAAACATGATTGTTTTGAGGTTGGTTTTTTTCTCCTTCTGGAATGGGGCATAAAAATTTATTTCTTTTTGAAAGTGATTTGAAGAATTTTAATCAAATCTTCTCTATGTAAATTTTAAAAGAAAAAACCCACACAAATATTGAAAGATATGCCAGTAAGTGCATAATTTCTTGTTTTACAACATCTTGTAAACATTTCTAACTTGTAAACAAAGAGTAATGATTGAAATTACAATAATTTGTTTGGACATCAAGGAAGACAACATGTTTATATTACTTCCACTCCCTCTAGTGCATCCCTTATGATGCTAGAGAACATCAGTTTGTTTACCCTTGTAAATGGTCAACAAGAAAATTAGATTTGTGGAAGGATCCAGTTCTAGGTGCATTGCCCGCTGTATTAAAACAATAAAATGATTCCACAATCTTACAGTAGGACTATAGTTTCCCATTATCCAGGGGGCAATCAAGGATATTCTCCCTTTAAATGTGAATTCTGGTCATCAGATAGCTATTTTGCTCATAGGTCTTAAAACATTTCTGTAAATTCATCATACTTACTATGGATAATTGATTGCCAAGAATGTCAGCCAAATTATACAGAGTAAAAACAGGTTTTTCAATCATTGTATGATCTTTCAGCCAGTCATTTTTAGGTACACACTTCATTTATTACATGATCTGAAACGATTAAGTCTTTACTGTCTGTCTGTATAATAGAAAATGTTCAATTAGTAAAAATTGTGTAGGTTTTTATTTATTTATTTTTCTTATTTTTTCTTTTCTCCCTAGAAAATTAGAGCAGTACAGGTGAACCATTTTCTCTCGACTTAGAGAAGATTTCACAGGTAAGAATTCATCTTTTTTAGACATTAAGACATTAATTTCTCTCTAAAAATGTTTACATGTATTTTTTTTGATTTGATAGTAATGATTATATTGAAAAGACAGCTGAGTAACTCAGGTGACCTAGAGCCAACAGACATGGTTGTTGTATTATCCCTTTGAAAGAAATCATATTTTCTCTAGAGACATCTAGAATTCCTATTTCTTGCTTAAAAGTCTACAAAATTTATGAAATTCATGTCTATATTTTTAAACTCTTAAGGTTTAGACCTCTGAGTGTTTGGCAAACTTTGATGTTTTAGAGAAACTTGAAGTGCAGAGTATAACAAGGACCCTGAGTCCAGTTCCAGTCATGAATGTGGGACACCTGAAAAACTTCATTCTGTAATTTGGTGACATTTTTCATGGAAATTACAAATCTTGTTTGTTTTTTTCTTCTTATCTCTTGACCAATCACATTAAAGACTTGGCAACAAATAATCCTTTACACATGCATGCATTGAGGTGTCAACTTATGTTTCAAGTCAACTTAAGTTACATTTCAACTCGTGAAATCCCAAATCTTATTGGTGCATGTCATAGACAGAAGAAAGCCCTTGAAATATTGAATGAAGTTTGTCAAGGGTCTCATGTCCAGGAGTAGACTCATGTCCTGACATTGTGAGGATAATACATGTTATACTGATGATAAAGTTCAAATAAACATGCAGGATGGTTATTTCGGTCACTGATTTAAAAGTTCTGTTATTTCATTTCAAGTTTATTGATGATTTTGTACTCAGAATCCCTCTGTCTCATACCCAGGAGGAGATAAATCTGAACCTTGTTTTAATCACTTGAAAAACATTTATGTGGAATAAGATGCTAATCAAGTGCTGTATCAAGAGAAGTATTAAATTTTAAAGGATTATTCAAGGTTTGGCCTTGGATTCATACCAATGATCACTGATAAAAGACTGCCACAAACTACAAAAAAACATCAATTACAGAATGGGTTATAAAATATATACAAACATTAATTTGTATGCAGAGAGATAGTTATCTTGGAATTGGTTGATGAATCTTCCTTCGAGTTTCTGGCTGAAAGTTGAACAGATTTTTATTTTGAACCATTTCTATATCAGGGTGGTTAAATTTGTCTGCTTGAAGGTTTTGATTGTTTAAAGTGTTGAAAACTATACTTTGTATTTCATGGTGATTTGTTGAAAGTGATTCATCAAGTGAATTGGAATTGAGGATGTTTTTATTATTTATAAGTCTTTACAAGTAAGACAATCAAAGAGACTATAACCACTATACATGTGCTACATGATGAAAAATTTGTCCGAATGTCCAGTTTTTGTGGTTCAGTCAAATACAAATTTTCCATATTCAATTGACTATTTGCTGTAACATGTGTTTTTTATGTGAGCATTAATTGAAATAAAAAAGAACACAATCCTGAGTGTCAAATTTTTAAGTCATCTAAATCAGGGCTCTTTGATACTCAGGTGAGCAATAAGGCCCATGGACTCTTGTTTTATGAAGTGGAAAGCCAGAAATCTAATTCTAGAGACCAAGCTTCTATTTTTTTGCTGGTAATTTAGTCTATAGGTCTCAATATCAAATTAAAGAACTGTAGAATTCTCATAAAAGTTCTATTTTTGTAAGAATATTTTTGCCCTGTGTCAGCTTTATTGTCACGTACAAATTGAAATAGAGGTTTCTTTATGTCACTAATAATCTTTCATATTCTGAAGTAATCATTTAGGCTTAGCTGTAGTACATATAGATATATTTGAGAGAGGAAGCAAAAATTCTGATGATGATATAAACCTTTGCAGAATTATGGCACCATATTGCACATAGAATATGATTAACCATTTGCAGCACGCTATGAAGAGGGATATTTTTATTGCCAATTAGAAGTCCCAGTTCACTCCGCATATGAAAAAAATATACTATGAGGAACCCCAGTAAAAAGATATCTATTTTCTCTCCTCAGTTTGATGTATTCTGTGAGAATTATGTCACTGAATCGAAGCAAGCTTAACAATTACTTGTCTGTGAATTTGCTTAGATAATGACATCAGCCAAGCTTCGATAGAAATCGGTGTTGGGCCTTCTATCTTAATAACACTCCATCGCGCACTTCTATTGCGGGCTGTCAGGCCTGGCTTGGAGGAGAGTACATCAAACTGGCCAGTGGTGTGGGGCTCCGTCAGACAATATGTCAATTGTTTGATTATAGAGCAAAGGTATGGATTTTTGTGCTCCTCAAAAGGAAGAAAATGTCATCGATGTGTACACGGAGGACCTTTGTCTCTCTGATTGAATACCTCATTAATGGATTTCCCTAAGTTACACATTACCTCTCAGCTATAAATAAAGCTGTTTTAGTGTTGACTTTGGTCAATTTGTTTTTTTCAGTAATGTTTTCTGACTTCTTATAAATGTTCTTGTGATTTTTTGATTTCTTGAAGTTGAAGTATTTATCGTCTTGACAGACAGTTTGCTTTCATAAGCAGCATCATGTTACTGAAGAATAACAACTTTGATATTTTAAGTATCAACACTGGATTGTGTTAATGTTTATTTTAATTAGTCCTTCTCAAAATCCTAATTGATAGAAAATCGGCCAGTCTAAACACAACCAAGACACAATTAGCTCCCTATTTGCACAAAAAAAAAGAAATAAAGAATTGCGAAAAAAAAAATGATAATATTAAATGAAACACAAAAATTACTAAACCTGTTCTCAAATTCACATGATGATTTCCTGTAGATGATTATCTATTACATATTAGATGGTGTGCAGTTGGTAAGATCATTGCTACTTTATTTTTGCTTAAATTATAGCTATAGAATTTTGTAGCCATTCTTAGACATCATTATTGATAGAGAAATAGTTTACTATAGATTTCTTTTTTTTAATGAAGGTTCACAAATTAACACCTCAACAAATATTGATCTAATATAGTAGATAGGCTATATCATTTAAAGCTCCCAACGAAAATTGAAAGAAAAAAATCTACAGCAAAATATCAAAGTAACAATGTATTTGCTTCATTTTCACTTTTGATTAATTGATTGATTGATCAATTGATTGTTTGTTTTGTTGATAGATAGATTAAAATGATTGCTTGATATATTTAAGGTTCCACAGGGGTTTAACTGTATTTCAGCATTATAATCAAAGTAAATGTGGCAATTTATTGTAGCAGGCACATCCTAAGCAGATTTTCAGCTTTTTAATGACTACTTTATGAGTCCGTAATAGCTATGTTTCTTTTAGCTAGAGTTGCAAGTGGTTATATTATTACTGAATCTTTCCTGTTCTCAAACATGTAAATGCCGATTCAGTGTAATGGACCCCTTTTAAAAAAAATTGAAGACATGGGTTTTGGGGAAATATTTTTAGTTGATTATCTAGAGTTGTCTTGACTTGCAATGGAGATTGGTTTTAGATGTGTTTGCAGTTATTATTAAAAGTCAGTTTGAGGTAATTGCAAATCACTCCATTTGTGGAATAATTTGGCATCCATTAGTATAAAAGATCGATAACAAAAAAAATTTAGGCTCCCAAAGTCATAACTATTAAGATAGTCAGTGTATTAATGTTACTGCATGAATATAAACAATCAGCATCATTGTAGCTCTTAATTGTTGTTATGTGTGAAATGCAAGAATATAGGTATACATGTATAAGGAAATGTTAGAAATGTATACTGTCCTTATAATTCTTATTTTTGTGCATATTATTTTCATTTATCGTATTTATACTGAGGAAGTGACATCTTTACAGATCAAACCAGAGTTTTTCCCCTTTTATGAATCTTTGTTGCCCGGAGTGCCTTTCAGCTTTAATTAAAACCTGCAGCAAGACTTGATCAAATTGTATGAGAAGTAAATGATGTGGTGTCCTAGATAGAAATTCAAATGTCTGTTATGTAAAGTTCCTGTCTTCATTTACATAAGTCTTAACTCTCTCCAGGGAATTATGGGAAGGGAAGAACAGGGAACGTCAATTGAATTGCAAGAACAGTAATGTATTTTCACTTAGCTTGATGCAGATTTATATTAACTTCTGCAGGCCTGGTCGTATTTTGCTGCCTTGCAAATGATGTCAGTAAATGACATTAAAAGAAGTTATTTCAATCCTGTAAAAGTGTTAATTAGATTTCATTTCATAGAAACATGATTTTTATTTCTTAGGGATAAAATGTTCCCTTAAATGAAAATAATTTACGATTTTATGCTGTTGCGCATTTTCTTTTTTCAATTTTTGTCTGTACAATAAAAGTATTTTAATGTTTATATATAGATAGTGTGAAAATGATGAACTATTTAAATGAAATTTTCCAGGTTAATATAACAATTAAATGTTATTGATGACCAGCCCTGCATTTAAATGTAATTTTAATTTTGTTTCTGGGAATTGAATTCCACACCCGATGAAACATGAAGCTAGTTCAAGTACCTGTTAAGTATTCCGTTATATTCCCTCTGGTCAGATGTAACTGGCAACAAATTAGATTTAATTATTTGCATAATGTGAATTTACTGTATGTTTTGTCAGACTTAGTGAAACCCATTATTGATTTACATACATTTCATGGCACGATATTTTATTTCTTTACAATATTAATTCATCATTTATAAAGGAAACCTTTCGGGGGCATTTGGTATATGTAGTGCAAATATTCGTACATTAATTCTGACACTGAATCTACCCGTAAGCCACCTGGTGGGAATTTATTTCAGTTAAAAGTTTCTCTTTCTGTTCAGCATCTGACTAGATTAAAATGGGCATTTGAGAATTGTTTAATAATTTGAATGAAGCATTGGAGGCATAACAAACTCTGTGATAAACTCATTTTTCTGAGTTAATTCACTTATTCCTATTTATATAGTAGAATTTCATGGGAAAATCTATAGTAACATGCTCCCTTAATGATAAAATTAAATCATTGCCATTCAAATTATAAATTTTCTTCAGTATTTGTATCAAAAAAAAATTTCA